TTTTTGTCAACAAAATAAACACATACTGCTTAAAAAGATGGTAATACGGACTACGGGCAAAGCTGTCAATTGTTTCTCGAATGTGCATGTGGCGCGTGTTAAATATTCAATAGTGACATCTCGTTTACATCTACATCTACATCTACTTTAATTACGTTAGTAAAATCTGTACAGACATCACACCAACTCACGCGCAAAGTGAGAAGACTATATGAAGGCTTGAAATTATATAACGATCGATTTTTATCAAGAGATGAGCCAGGAATATTCCAATGTAGTGCAAATAATCGTGAAAGCTGATCGTGGAAAAGCGATTGCCTGACGCTCGGTAAGTTGTAAGATGACATGTTATCACATACCAGACGAAAAAACTCTTTCGATTCTCAGTCTGCAACTTGTACCCACTCTGCAGTCTGCGGTCTACATTTTGTACCTAATCTACATTTTGTATCCGGTCTGCAGTCTCTTGTCTGCATTTTGTACTAACAGGTATCCGTGGCACCATTACAGTTTATTTTTGGTTACAGTTATGCGCACAACACACACAATCTACCACAAAATACCTGTGTGTGAGTTAATTCGACATTTTCGTTCTTTTCCGCGTTAATACTCTTCTTTCCTTTGGTCAGAATATAGACATCACTTACAATGTTTCAAGTAATCCACACCCACCCCCAAAGAAATAACTCTTGCATGCCTAGCATGCCTATGTTGAAGCAAGGCTTGAATCGTCTTCTTTAACGTAGTCGAGGTACGTCCAAGTATTTATCGTAACCTTAAGTATGAAAATTATAAGGAAGAATCGAAGCTAAATTCTAAGAGGGATAAAAGAGAGCCGCTTGAAAACGAACTCTAACAAAAACTAATAACCAAATGGGAAGAACGTGCAGCGTTCTAACGAAGCGTGAACAATGTAAGCCACTTACATAACAGTCCCGCCTGTAAGAGTTTAACCAAAACGAACTTCAAGAGAAGGTGGGCAAAAAAGCGCTCTTCCGATAAACACTTCTTATCGTTAGCCCAAAGCAAGACAACTTACTAAAATGCGGTTCTGGTTGGAAATTAAAAGATCACGTCCCTTATGGACAAACAGTAACGTCATTATTACGGTTTAACACGAATCAAAGTCATAGCGAATCACTGTCCGTGGCAAAGACGTGGCAGCCGTTACACACCGTGTAACATGTAATTCCATTACTCATATCTTGTTCATTCTCAACTTTAATAGTTAGTGGATTTAATTTATTTTTAAAGGCGCTAAAAAAAATTCTGCTCTCTTGACAATTCAAGAGGAAGTTATATTCAGAGACGCTCGACCCTTATGATAAGTCTTCCGCCAACTCGCTTACCGACAACAGTCCCCGATCGAAAACAATTTTTTTTTTGTGGCTACTGCCTCATTTAGGAGGCGAAGCCTACTATATGGTCGAAATGAGTCAGCGAGTCAGCGAGTCAGCGAGTCAGCGAGTCAGCGAGTGGGTGATGGTAACAATAGAATCGCGATCCGGCTTGACACAATTTTGACCAGATGTTTCCAGATGCTAATTGTCGTTTATTTGCGAGTATCTTAGTGATTTCTAGGCTATAGCCACCAACACATTTAAGTTATCTCCTTTTCTGGTTCTTCCCGTGACAATCTTGAAGGGGGGGTAGGGGGGAAGGGACGGGGGGGGTGTCAGAGTCTTCCGCTTCCCGTACCACGTATCAAACGTACCAAACTTGTTCGTTTTATGTCCTTTGTTTTGGCAAGGGACTATTGGGTCCCGATGAAAGTTATTACAGGTCAGTTTTCTTAATAAAACAAAGTTTCACTAACCTGCTTATCACAGTTTGACCATCGCTTCTGACATCTCGTTATAGAGACGAAAGTCTCAGTCCACTGTGTGATGTAATAGCTATTCCAATTTAATGAAGGTTTTTCCATGCATTTAGGAATACCATTTCAAAGTCAAATAAAAAAATCAAGAGCCAGACGTAACGTTTAGAGTTTTCTTCTCTGAATCCGTACTTGCTTTCCCTTTTTGACGTAAGTAACTAGTCGTAGCTAGTCGAGAGCGAATAAAAAAAGCTGACTCCAAAGGATAATATAAATCACTGCATATCTGTCGTTGAACCGTTTGCATTTTTAGCGTTCAGTTTAAGTGCTAGTGAAGCATGATTGAACTTTCTTGTTCGACTGATTATCAGATTTGTCCGATAGGTTGAAATCTTCTTTAAACCTCCGCGGAAAGTTTTAAAGTTAGAAGAAGTCTTCCATGCACCGGGAAGACCACACTGAACTCTTCCAATTCCAAAGTTTGGTTAGAACCTCTTCTTCCCCCGAGTCAAGATAACTTCTTGATTTTCTTCAATTTCATTTGTTTTCAAATCATATTCGCCCCGGTAATCTAAAAGCATCTTGCAGAATGTTTCCTCAGAGAGTTCAAAGCGCCCGTTTAATAATCGAGCGTAAATTGGGGCTGACAAGCCTACACGACTTTGTAGTAAGTCAAGTTTTCTGTATATTTGTTTTAAGTGTTAAAAGGCTCGCACGACTCCAAAGTATGTCGGTTTCCTTGCTTTCGTTCTAATTTCGCTCTCACCAGTATGTCTTTGAGTGGACGCCCCTTTCTGTATGATACTATGAGCGGTTCTTTGAACATTTCTCTTAGCAGTGGTTTTTGCTGTGTAATGACAGTTGCTCATGAGGATTTCTTTAGGGTTCTGAAATGATGAATGGTATTGTGTGTATTGTGACCTGAATTTCTTTGCTGGAGATTTTCGACAGCTTCAGGTTACTAGACACTGAAGTATAGGTGTACATGTGTCATGTTTCATGCTATCTCATGACCTATGACGTAATCGAATCGAAGGGATCTCCAAATTCACCGGAGGTAATGGTGTTTTTCCAGCCCGAGTACAAATTTACGTTTTCTTGCTTCCAAAATTTTCTTGTAAGCATTAGTGGATGTTAAATGGAAATTTCAAGACTTTGCTAGATAAGTGTTTTTGACTAAATAATACCCAGTAATAAAAAAAATTATCGCCCTCCTTATTTCTGCTCCTGCTTCCCGCCCTCGTATAGATCCCGCTTCCCGCCCCTGTTCTCCCGCTTCAAACCCTCTTCCGCCCCCTGTTCTCCCGGGAAACCGCCCCCCTGTCCCCCTCCAGAATCTTGCATCTCACAATCATTTCAGGATTGCGCGTGATTAAAAACAAAAGTTGCTAACATATGATTTCAAGGAAATTAAATACAGATGGAGTCTGCGTGTGTTCCAGGTATTGGGAGATAAGAAATTTGAGAGGACCAAATATTATTAAGGAATAAGCCCTGTACACCGTGTTTCTTTTCATGCAGTGAACTGTTTCAAAACACCGTCTCTCTATTGTAGAGATATCTGCAAGGAAAGTTTTGATTTAAATTAAATGAAACTCCTAATCCTTGCACACTAAGTTGCTAACCTATCACTCAGGCCTCTCTACCCCAACATGGACATGGCCCGGGAAAAGAACACGGAAAGGGAAAGGAAACTAAGGAAAATGGAATTCGAGAGCACAAGGACAAAGCCGCTTCACGAGCCGCTTTCTCGTCACTCCTTCCCTCAATGAGTCGGCTACGCAGGTGAAAATGGAAGTTCGATTACGATATAGAATTCACTTTTGTTTTTTTTCTGTTTGTTGTTAACGTATGCACCTTTTGTAAGTTTTTGTGTATTCCAGCTGTAGAAATTATGTTCTACTTTATGCGCCAGTGAGTTTTTTATTTGTTATATCTGTAAACTCTTGCTGTTGTGCACGTTTCTGTGTGATGCATCTGTTTCAGATTCAACCTTCTTTGCTTGATTATTTTGTCTGAATGATTTGTCTCTTTCTTTTTTTAATTGCGTGTCTGTTTTCACCGTTCCAAAGCTCAATTCCAAATTTTCTGGACTTTGAATTTATTTTAAAAAAATATGCCATTTATCACTTTTGGCAAAAGTACTGAAATAGCTCCTGAGCCCGGTCACGACAAGATCTTCATGACTAAATATTAATCTTATCACAAATTAAATAATCCTCTTATCAGCACAATCCCTCGGTGACAGCGGGCAATCACGAAGTGGCATATCGCCAAGAGGATAACAAACGAGTCCTTATCTCTGAAAAAATTGAGCCACTGGCCAGAGAAACAGCGATCTCGACAACGTTTTCAATTAGAAAAAGCTGAGAAGAGTTTAACAACATTGATGAAACGGCCGGCAAAAACTTAACAGGTTGGTAGAAAGACAAGCTGGATTAGCTACTAGTGAAAGCTCGGTGCAAAACAGATCCTCTTCTGAAACAAAACACGGCTTACGGCGACCTGTATCAAAGACGACTGAGTCAAGGGAGACGTAAATAAATAAAGTGACACTAATATTGATATTAAAGAGTCCATTCTGGGTATCTGTGGTATTTCTTATGCATGCTAAGAGTCATCTGGTGAACACCCTGAGTTCTACAACTGAGCAGAAAAAATGTCCCGTTTTCTTCGACTTTTGTGGGTTGTATTTCAAGTACTTGTTATTACGGTATTCAGTGATTTTCAGAATGACAGAAGGCTCTTGGAGGATTACAACAGTAGGTTACTTGTGTATGTTAACTTTCTTATCAATGGAATGTGCTTGAACTTCTTCCTAGATATGAACCCTAGATGTTGCCAGGCCCTAAACTGGATCGTGTTATATCGCAATTTCTAAAATAGTGACGTTTTCGCCAAAGAAATGGTTCAAAAACCATAATTTTGGTATATCTACGACAGAGTCTTTTTTAACTCTACATACAGAACGATTGAAAATACTTACAATCCTAGTTGAATTTTTTTTCTCTCTAAACAGACGCTAGACGCAATATTGATTACAAAGTTGACGAGTTTACAAGTCTGATTTCATCGCGATACTCATTGACTTAATGTTTTCTTGTATCGATCAACGTTTGAGCAAACCGTCCGAGAGGAAGCTTATGGTAAATGGTGCCATTCTAAATCTTTCCTCTCACACAAGAGATACATCAAGAAAAAAAAAAAAGCGCTGCCTAGTAACAAAAATTGGCAAAGATTTATTCACCCAAGCCTTGAAAAACTTAATGATTATTTCTATAACCATTGATGAAAAGATCTCTTTTCAGGAACGATAATTTTTAGTTTTTTTTTTCCCCACATAAAAAATGACTCTTCTATTATCTATCTAACAGAGGGGCCCTCTTGAGGGGCCCTCTTGAGGGGCCCTCCTTAAGGAGGCTGAAATACAAACTAGAAAAGCTATTTCTCCGCTATCAGCAAGCTTTACCTGTGCCCCTTAGAATCAATTCAAGTATAGGCCAACTTTCTTAAGCTAGCGATATTTCACCAGGTGAAAATGATCTTTCGAAAAAGGATGTCTTTACCTAAAGTAAAAAACTCCGAAAACGTGTCAGAGTCTGCCTGATACGAAAACATATCTCTGTAGTTGAGCTCATAAATTCAACAAATATTTTCAGCTTTTACGCAGCCTATATCACCAAAACAGTAGTTAACTCAATGTCTCTGCAGATCTAATTGAGAAACAAGACATGTTCAGAATAGAGACGTTCAATTATATCGCGTGTTAACATGTGTGACCTTTCATCTATCACGGGCATTCATTTCTCAGAGCATTCCGTCTTTTTAATTAAACAAAAAAAATCCGCGTGTGCAAGCGCGAAGACAGAAGAAAAGGAGACAAGCGATATAAATAACTCTAAATTTTTTACCTGATACGTATGTTTACTGTAGCATCTGTGCATTGGAATGTTTGGGTTCAAATTTTACTCTG